CACAAATTTGATATATTTTTCTTCATGTTTTGATTTGGAATAGAATGTGTAGTGTTCACAATGCATTTGTTTGTATGGAAATAAAAGCTATTAGAAGGATTTTGAGCTTTATTCACTTTTTTCAACACACTGCTATTATTTTGAACACAACTGTAAATCTATTTGTGGTCTCTTATGTCAAGATGTGAAAAACACAACATGACGCATCATATCTGCCAAGCATCTTTTTCCCATCACCAATAGAAATACAGTTCTCATTTGAGGCTATTTACACAATGTCACACTATAAGGGCTCATGTACACTGCAGCTGCTAAACTGATGTTCAGGAGCTGTTGAGCGTTTTTTTCAGCAGCCCCTGAACTCTCCTTTATGTTTTCTTATGTGTCCTTGTACACATAGTCATTTACAGTCGTTTACAGGCAGTTGAGTTTACAGTCCTTTTTTTGAACGCAGCAAAATTGCATTCAGGAGTAGATTTTACCGGCATTTGAAATGCCTGTAAACGCGGTTAACCGTGTTTACAAGAGTTTGCGTTTAGACACTTTTTTTGACAGGTCCATATCCAGATGCTGTCCAGAGCCTTTTTTCTTCATCAAAAATAAATGCAAAGCGTTTTCCATGTATTCAAATGGACCTAGTACATCAGTGCAATCAGTTCCAGGTTTCAAGTGAAGGAACAAAATGGTAGAACGTGCTGCATTATGCTCATGATGGGATCCATAGTGAATACAACCATAAAAGACAGGTCATCTCAACACATACTGCTCTCTGCTCTCTCTATTTCTCTCAAAATGTCCGAAATTGTTAATTATTTACTATTTTTTAGTGCATTCTGGGCATTTGGGAGGGTCCCTTGAGGTAATCTTTTAAAAATGCTTCTAAATGCAAACGCTCATAAACGCGGTATGCAAACGTGGCAAACTGACGTTTTTTTATCCTACGTTCTAGAAGTCAGTTTCCAGCGGTCAGAAGTTTTCCAAATTCCTAACAAGACCCTTGGCCAGCTTACGACCAGTAAAACAAGAAAAAGGTGATCCTAACAGTTTGGTCTAGCTTTAGCCAGTAAAGATTGTAGGGGAATTTATAAAGCATGTTGTACACATCCTGCCATACCAAAATTGTTGGTGCTTGTGCCCATATCATGTACCCATCAGAGACAGGAACTGTCAGTGTGTCCATACTGGAATACTAGAATCTCAGTGCTTTCCTTTCCTCCCCAGCCATCATGCCAGTCACCCTTAAAGGTGCATGGCAGAGAAAAATATAGTAGGGATGGGCAGAGCCTGATGAGGAACTGATAGATTGGTTCCTCATAAGGTCTGCCCGACTGTTTTTTGACAGTGCATGGCAGTAGGTGGATCCATAGCCGCTATTCAGTCCAATAAGTGCCTTTCATTCAATGGTAAAGTGGGCCTAATGAGGAACTAGTCTCTCAGTTCTTCATCAGGTTATGCTGATGCAGTGACAAGTCCATTTCCAAATATGGCAATTGCCATACACCCTGTTCCAAATTATTATGCAAATTCTATTTAAGTGTCACAAAGATTAAATTTTTTTGTTTTTCAGTTTAACGCATGGATGGCATTGTGTCTCAGGGCTCTTTTGATCACTGAAAACAATATGGGACACCTGTGATAATTAGATTGGCAGGTGAGCCCAATTTAAGGAAAAACTACTAAAGGAGGGTGTTCCACATTATTAAGCAGAGCACCATTTTCACGCAATATGGGGAAGAAAAAGGATCCCTCTGCTGCCGAAAAGACTGAAATCATTCAATGCCTTGGACGAGGTATGAAAACATTAGATATTTCATGAAAACTTAAGCATGATCATCGCACTATTAAGAGATCTGTGGCTGATTCAGAGCACAGACAGGTTCGTGCAGATAAAGGCACATTGAGGAAGATTTCTGCTATATCCATGTATCAGATCAAGAGAGCAGCTGCTAAAATACCATTACATAGCAACAAACAGATATTTGAAGCTGCTGGTGCCTCTGGAGTCCCATGGACATCAAGGTGTACAGTCCTCCAGGGTCTTGCAACTGTGCATAAACCTTCTATTCGGCCACCACTAACCAATGCTCACAAGCAGAAATGGCTGCATTGGGCAGAAAAATACATGAAGACTATTTTTCAAACAGTCCTGTTCACTGATGAGTGCCGTGCCACCCTGAATGGTCCAGATGGATGGAGTAGTGGATGGTTGGTGGACGGCCACCCTGTTCCAACAAGGCTGCGACGTCAGCAAGGCGGTGGTGGAGTCATGTTTTGGGCCGGAATCATGGGAACAGAGCTGGTCGGTCCCTTTAGGGTCCCTGAAGGTGTAAAGATGACCTCTGCAAAGTATGTGGAGTTTATGACTGACCACTTTCTTCCCTGGTACAGAAGGAAGAACTATGCTTTCCGTAATAAAATCATCTTCATGCATGACAATGCACCATCTCATGCTGCAAAGAATACCTCTGCATCAATGGCTGCTATGGGGATAAAAGGAGAGAAAGTCATGGTGTGGCCTCCATCCTCCCCTGACCTCAATCCTATTGAGAACCTTTGGAGCATCCTCAAGCAAAAGATCTATGAGGGTGGGAGGAAGTTTACATCCAAACAGCAGCTCTGGGAGGCTATTCTGACATCTTGCAAACAAATTCAAGCAGAAACTGTCCAAAAACTCACAAGTTCAATGGATGCAAGACTTGTGAAGCTGCTATCAAATAAGGGGCCTATGTTAAAATGTAACGTGACCTGTTAAAATGTTTAAAAAGTTAAAATGTTGTTAAGAGTTTGATTGAAATAGCTTTTGATTTCAGTAAATATGCTGCAAACACAACAAATGACAATTTTCAGTTCTTTACAACCTATAAAGTGTTTTGAAACTTACTGTGCGTAATAATTTGGAACAGTGCATTGTAAGTTTTTTGTTTTTGTTTTTTTTAAATACTGTTATCATTAAGAGTACAATTAAAATTTTATTGAACAAACCTCCTAATAGTTGATAACATGAGAATTATGCTGACTGTTATTTACATCAATTATTTACAGTCAGGTCCATAAATATTGGGACATTGACACAATTCTAACATTTTTGGCTCAATACACCACCACAATGGACTTGAAATGAAACGAACAAGATGTGCTTTAACTGCAGACTGTCAGCTTTAATTTGAGGGCATTTACATCCAAATCAGGTGAACGGTGTAGGAATTACAACAGTTTGCATATGTGCCTCCCACTTGTTAAGGGACCAAAAATAATGGGACAATTGGCTTCTCAGCTGTTCCATGGCCAGGTGTGTGTTATTCCCTCATTATCCCAATTACAATGAGCAGATAAAAGGTCCAGAGTTCATTTCAAGTGTGCTATTTACATTTGGAATCTGTTGCTGTCAACTCTCAAGATGAGATCCAAAGAGCTGTCACTATCAGTGAAGCAAGCCATCATTAGGCTGAAAAAACAAAACAAACCCATCAGAGAGATAGCAAAAACATTAGGCGTGGCCAAAACAACTGTTTGGAACATTCTTAAAAAGAAGGAACGCACCGGTGAGCTCAGCAACACCAAAAGACCCGGAAGACCACGGAAAACAACTGTGGTGGATGAGCGAAAAATTCTTTCCCTGGTGAAGAAAACACCATTCACAACAGTTGGCCAGATCAAGAACACTCTCCAGGAGGTAGGTGTATGTGTGTCAAAGTCACCAATCAAGAGAAGACTTCACCAGAGTGAATACAGAGGGTTCACCACAAGATGTAAACCATTGGTGAGCCTCAAACAGGAAGGCCAGATTAGAGTTTGCCAAACAACATCTAAAAAAAACCTTCACAGTTCTGGAACAACATCCTATAGACAGATGAGACCAAGATCAACTTGTACCAGAGCGATGGGAAGAGAAGAGTATGGAGAAGGAAAGGAACTGCTCATGATCCTAAGCATACCACCTCATCAGTGAAGCATGGTGGTGGTAGTGTCATGGCGTGGGCATGTATGGTTGCCAATGGAACTGGTTCTCTTGTATTTATTGATGATGTGACTGCTGACAAAAGCAGCAGGATGAATTCTGAAGTGTTTTTCGGGCAATATTATCTGCTCATATTCAGCCAAATGCTTCACAACTCATTGGACGTCGCTTCACAGTGCAGATGGACAATGACCCAAAGCATACTGCAAAAGCAACCAAAGAGTTTTTGAAGGGAAAGAAGTGGAATGTTATGCAATGGCCAAGTCCATCACCTGACCTGAATCCGATTGAGCATGCATTTCACTTGCTGAAGACAAAACTGAAGGGAAAATGCCCCAAGAACAAGCAGGAACTGAAGACAGTTGCAGTAGAGGCCTGGCAGAGCATCACCAGGGATGAAACCCAGCGTCTGGTGATGTCTATGCGTTCCAGACTTCAGGCTGTAATTGACTGCAAAGGATTTGCAACCAAGTATTAAAAAGTGAAAGTTTGATTTATGATCATTATTCTGTCCCATTACTTTTGGTCTCTTAACAAGTGGGAGGCACATCTGTAAACTGTTGTCATTCCTACACCGTTCATCTGATTTGGATGTAAATACCCTCAAATTAAAGCTGACAGTCTGCAGTTAAAGCACATCTTGTTAATTTCATTTCAAATCCATTGTGGTGGTGTATAGAGCCAAAAATGTTAGAGTTGTGTCCATGTCCCAATATTTATGGACCTGACTGTAGGTAAATGAGAAAAATATCATTTGCATAATAATTTGGAACATGGTGTATTTGGATAGGGACATCAGCACTACCCCCATTTTTGTTTTAATTGGGTAATCTCCCAGCCAAAAGCTAAATGGGGCTGGAGATAGAGCCTGTGTGGGAAGCTGTCTCTTTCAGGGCAGCTTTCCAACACACTCACAACCTATTCTGAGCACTGGCATACCTCTGTACGCCATCTCAAGGCTGGTCTTAACCACTCAGAAATACCGCTCAGAAATACTGCTACAGGATGGCAGGGGTGTACAAAATCATGTATATATACACATGATTTTGCATTTCCGGGTAGGGGGCGCGCGCCACTACCCGCACCGCCATTCGCGGCCTTGGCTGTCAATCACCAGGTCCTGGCCAGTGATTACTCACCAGCACCTGGTGATCGCCGAGTAATATCAACGGGGGGGGGGGGGGGGGGAGAACCGTATGTAAACAATAGTTCTCTCCCCTGTCAGCTCCAGCACACTGCTTTGTATGGCTCTTCAAAGCAGAGCCATACAAAGCAGTGTGCTTACAGTGCAAAGCACAGACACAGCCCCATTGTAAACACACACAACACACAGTTAACCCCTTGATCACCCCAGATGTTAACCCCTTCCTGCCCAGCATCATTAGTATAGTGTCAGTGCATTTTATTAGCACTGATCACTGTATTGGTGTCACTGGGGATGTCAGTGACACTAAGTCAGTTCGCCAAAGTGTCAGAATGCCCTCCGCAGTCCCGCTACAAGTCACTGATAGCCGCCATTACTAGTAGAAAAAAAAAATTCCAGTATATATACCGCCATTTGTAAACGCTATAACTTTCACGTAAACCAATTAATTTACATGTATTGGGATTTTTTTTAGCAAAGACATGTAGCAGAATACATTTTGCTTTAAATTTATGATAAAATTTGATTTTATAAATTTTTTTATTGGACATGTTTAATAGCAAAGAGGCAAAAATATATTTTTCTCAAAATTGTCTTTTTTTTTGGTTTATAGCGCAAAAAATAAAAACCGCACAGGCGATCAAATACCACCTAAAGATATCTATATTTGTGGGGGAAAAGGACGTAAATTTCATTTGGGTGCAGCATTGCATGACTGTGCAATTGTCAGTTAAATTAACCTCCCTGGCAGTATGATTCTTTCCGATTTTTTGTGCTGAAAGCGGTACCATTTTCTTGCATGGAAATATGTAGTTTTTTATTGTAGGCTGTAATTTTTAGGAATAACTCATTGAAATCTGTCCGAACAAGAAACTATTAAACATTCCGGATATGATAAAATTTGAAACACGAAATCATAAATTATAATTTAATAAATAATCATAAAAAATAATATAATAATACATTTAATTCAATAATATAATCAAACCAAAAACACTGAAATTTGAAATAGAGGCAAATTCGCACATCGCTGAGCAAAGTCGCAAAATCGTTTTCAGTGTCTGATGACGAATTTCCCCACGAATCATTATCGCTCAATTCTGCAAGTGGTTCTGATTTACTATCGCTGTTCTAAAACCGCTTTTGACGTAAAGGGACGCTTTTTGGACGCCATGGACTTTTCTAAGTTTCCAGGCAGAAAGAACAGTCAAAATGCGGCAGGGCACAGGACAAAGCAGTAGGGACAAAATGTATGTGAAATGCATTGAAACAGCAATGACAGCAAAAATGACATTTTTTAAAAATTTCAAATTTCCCGCCCATACGTCCCGACGTCACAGGGACCGGAACACAGAAGCCGGATGCCGGCATCGGCTGGAGGAGATGGCCGGGGACGCTGCAGGGGACACATCGTGGGAGCGAAGGACAAGGTAAGTGCTGCAGGGACCCCAAAAGCAGCGCCGCATGGTAAGCCCGAGTGTAGTTCAGGGTTACCGCTCTTGGTATAGAAATTTTACCCCGAGCTACACTCGGGATTACAGCTAAGGAGGTTAAAGCAGTGCCGTAATGCAAAAATTGGCCTGGTCAGGAAGGGAGGTAAATCCTCTGGAAGGCAAGTGGTTAATTACCACTGGTTCCCTAATCTGTGAACTGAGGGTAGTTTTGTAATAAGTTGTTGCTGCCAAAGAGACAAATTCTTAAAGTGGTGGTAGTAAAACTACTTGAATTTGTCACCGGTGTTGGTTTGGTAAGGTTACTGAAACTGGCACAAATGCTTGCTCGAATTAGGTGCAGGTAGTTCGAATGGAAACTACCATCATAAAAATGGTCTAAGAGGCGTTACTGAATTCCCCTGTGTGTGCCTACAAATTCCAGTGATTAAAATCTCACCCTGCCAATAACCAGTTTAAAATTCTGATCAATTGTTATGTGATTAAAATAAATAACCTGCAGCCTAATATGCTTATGTGAGCGTGATGTGTGTCTGTATGTTATCCTATATTTGTGCATTTTAAAACTTTGATGATGAATTACAGCTGCAGTCTGGAGAACCAATCTGAATTACTGGGCATGGGAAGTCTGAATTATCCTTGTTCTGCTTATAACTTCTATGAATAAACCCTTAGAGACCATCTGATGATGTAACAGCGTTCTAACCCCTGCATATTATCCACACATCTCACTGCAGTCTGTAGTTCATGATTTATAAATAGAGGCATTCATTTGAGTGGAGCAGAGGCACAGCAAGGAACAGGAGATGTGTAGGCTGCAATAAATTATTTTATGAAATGGTCTCTAAGGACCTGGCAACCCTAGGCCACAATGTTTGTTGGACCTGGAGAGACTGCAGTCAGTGCATCAAACAGGAAGAAGCAAAAAATCAACACTGGTAAACAAAATTTAGAAAATTCTGGCAGTAGTACAGTGAACATTGGGAATACAGGCAAACTAAGACTATGCTTGGAGCAGTAACTTTTGCAGCCTCCGTGAAGCAATATTTCATTGATTCACTGAGTGAATAGATGAAATTGTACGGATGTATATATACAGTATATTGTAATCAGCATTTTCTTTTTATATCAGAAAAGGTTCTTAATTTTTTGTGTACTGTATATGCTTATTCCTTTGGAAACTACTGTATGTAAGGGTTTGTTCACACCAGACCCCATGCTAAATCATACGTGTGCTGGTGAATGTTACGTATGTACTGCATCACATTGTGAAGCGTTGCAGAGATTTGCACTGTGTAAAAATGCAGAATGTCTGCATTTTTATACAACACACTAGAACCCACCTCAACACAGCATTGTGGTATGAACAGGACACACAGCCACCTTTTTTTTTTTTTTTTTTTTTTTTTTTTTATTTTAACAAGATCAAAAAGTAAGAAGGGGAGGGACCCCAGTCTTGTTCTGTACTCTAAGATATGGCATTTAAAAGGTACGCCAAAATTCCTATCATTTTAAATTAGTAGAGGAATTGATTCTTAGACCACAGGACATCCCCAAGCAATAAATCTAGGAGTGGGCATTCAAATAAGACAGAAAATGGCGGCAACAGTCTTACAGCAAGGGAGAAGGTGATTTTATTTTTACAGATGACCTTTTAAGGACGCGGAAACCCATAAGGAAAGGCTTTTGCATGAACAAGAGCACTTGAGGAAGGCCCAAAGAGGCACACAAAGTTGCAAGGGGGAACAGAGCAACCTCTTTGGGAAAGTGCACAGGAAGTGTAAAAGCCTAGGTGATAGGAAGAGGATATGAAAGGCCTAACCGAGACCTGCAGGGTACTGAGACTACGTATCTGGCGAAGTTGTAGGTAGTGCCATTTACTCCACTGAAGATGACGCTCAAAAGAGTCCTACCACAGCCTAGAGAGAAAGTCAGGGGAACCCTGGTGTCTCTGTGGTTTCCTGGGTCATGGAGAAGCATGCCAGTTGGCTACGCTGCATCCATGTGACCCCTAGTGGTCATCTTGGGTCAGCAGGGCCTTTAAGTCCCTGCTCCTTGGGTTTTGGCACACTTTTGCGAAGTTGGTAGAGTAGAGAGAGAGAGACCCCGTCTGACAGAAAAAGTGACTAGTGGCAGGGAAAGGTTTATGATAAGGAGGAACAGGTTATGGATCTGCTATTCTCAAGGAAGCCTCCCCCCTTTGGAATTGGACAGGCCAGGCCACACTTCACCCTCTGAAACAAACTTCTGACCAATCATTTGGTTTGAGGTGGGTGCTGGGAGGTCACCACGTTTATGACCAAGTCCCAAATACAGATTCTTATACGTATTCATATTTCTGAATACCTACCATTTACAGTAAGCTACCATGCAGATTATTGTCCAGCATTAAATTAGCTTCAAAATGGATATAGCTATAGCAGGTCTCAGATATTTCTCATATGAGGGGTGTGGGGGCCTGATCCACTCTGGTACCCGTTAGCATAGGAATGTTTGGTTTCAAAATGCTACCCAATAACTTAGGGAGGTAAATATGTCTATATTCTGGTTGTGCTGTAATGATTTCATGAGTTATGAAATATGCTGAAGCTTTAGACTTTGGGCTGATAAGCCATTTATCAGAGATGTGTATACTAGTAATGTATTTATGACCCAATGTCTGTTAGGTCTCCGGATTACTCAAGCTTTTGAGGGTGAGTTTTATCAGGGTTTTCAGACTGGAACAGTGGATTGGGCTAGTGAAGAGGAGATCTGTGTGCCTGTTCAATGGATTGATAACAAGGTCCTGGCATCAGTTAACAGCTTGTTTATTGTACAAACTGAAGGACAGAGGGGGAGGGGGGAGGGGGAAGGTCACTGGCCTATACCTTCTTATAACAAGATGGCATAGGAAATGTGTGACATGACAAAATGGCTGCTACACACACAGCTATTTGCTTGCCCAGTATGCACAAGCATTATAGTAGGTGTTAATGCACTTTTTAGATATTTATTTTAACTCAGTAAGGTGTCCTCCTCCAGCGCAGCTTTCCAGTTTTGGGAGGACATTCATGGACGTCCTCCCACGTGCGCACCTTCCGTGTGCCACCTGGGGCGTGACCTGTGACTGCTGGGTCCTTTGGACACAGCTGATCACAGATCGTGGTAAGGGGCCAATCACGCCAGCCCTTTACCATGTGATAAGCTCTGTCCAATCACAGCTGGTTACATGTAAACAAACTTGCCGGCTATCAGCATTTCCTTTCCTTATACGCTGTCTCTGTATGAGGGAACCGATAACCAGCCAGTCTGAAAGTACATTGTTTACAAGGACAATCAGGGCAATGATTTATTTATTACATTAATAGAGCCGTCAATTTACAAAGCGCTTTACATATATATATTGTACATTCACATCAATCCCTAACCCTCAAGGGGCATACAATCTAAGGTCCCTAACTTACATTCATACATACACATACTAGGGCCAATTTAGACAGAATCCAATTAACCTACCAACATGTCTTTGGAGTGTGGGAGGAAACCGGAGTACCCGAAGGAAACCCACGCAGGCACAGGGAGAACATGCAAACTCCAGGCAGGTGGTGCCGTGGTTACGATTGCCCTTGGTTGTCGTGCACTTTTCCAACATGACACTGATACAAAATACACATCCAAGGCCACTACTGCATTTCTGAAGAACAGGGTGAAAGTGAACCAGTGGCCAAGTACTGTATGTCTCTTGATCTGAACCTAATCGAACACCTATGGGGAATTCTGTAGAGACAAGTTGAGCACCACTCTCCATCCAGCATCCAGGCTCTAAAAGAGGTGGTGATAAAATACCACCAAAAGAAAGCTCTATTTGTGTGAAAACAAGGATACAAATTTTATATGGGTACAGTGTTGCATGACTGCGCAATTGT